ACTTTGGGACTGGGCTAAGAAAATGTCTTCACTACCTTTTGAGTCTCGGAAAAGTGCTTCACTTATTTGCCATCTCAAAAAAGATGTACAAGGGATTGTTCGTTCTCTTAAGACCAATTTTTCAGAACTACAAATCAAAGAATATCATGGTAAATCAGATCCTGAGGAAAAGGCTCATGATTTTAGCAATGTAGAAGAATCATGGAAAGACTTAGACCTAATTACCTATACTAGCACTCTAAAAATAAAAGTATCATGTACCAATCCTAAGTTTGAGCGGGCATTCTTCTTTTTAATAGTTTCATAGAAACAAATGCTGAAACGAATCAGATGTTATTTCGCATGCGATGTATTAAGGATTATATATGTCATATCGAATAAAAATCATCTAATGTTCCTATTACAGAGAAAGAATTATTCCAATGGTTGTTAAATGCTAAACGAGAATGCCTTTCCCGAAAACTTCAGAATAGAGGAATTTTTCCAGATATAGATTCTATTATCTGGAATAAAGATTTGCCAACTATTCGATTGTGAGTAGCATATATGTTGGAAAATTTTCATTCCCGATGTTTATTTAGTTGAAGAATGATCGATTTTCTCTGAAAGGCAGGTATGGTAATTTCTGTCATAGAATTCATTTCTAAACCTGAAGATATTACAATATTGCTATCCTAAATAGTGAAGGTGAGTTCTTCTATTGTTAAAGCAGAGGAGATATCAGATATATCTAATGCTTTTATTGTCAATCATGAGACTGCCAAATTATTGGAGAATAAACCAAAGAAGACTTTAGAAGAGATGCGCTCTTTAGACCAGCATCATATTGTGAATTGCTATGGTATTTTATCTGAATTACTAACTGAAGGTTTCATCTCAAAATATGGGAATTACAATCACATGAAATGGTTTAGAGCTTATAGACAACTATGAGATGCTAGTATTAGTAATGAAACAGCAGTTGAGGTTATTTTCTGTAAAGATTATAGAGAAGATAGGCTTACAACTGCAACTCAAGCTGAGAGGCATCAAATTGCCTTGAATTATTAAGAGTTTGCATACCAGCTAGGGATATTGATGATAGAATATAATATAAATCTGATAACGTTAAGATGCGTCTAAATTCTTCTGAGTCATTATCATATCTCCAGGGTTTAGTTTCTAAAATGGCTCAGGTTTTTGATAATGTAGATGCATCATACAGTGCTAAAAAATCGGGATTAAAGACAATCCGAGCAAAACTTGGTTTATTAAATGCATTACTTTACACAACTTATGGATTAAAATTTAAGGCTATAGATAAAAGTCTTAGATATTACCATGTAGTTGGATCATTCGATATTAAAGACGCTTCTGAATTACCTTTATATCAAACAGGAAAAGAAATTTATTAGGAAAAAGGAGGAGATATGCGATATGGGTATAGTAAGCTCTCATCAGACGAATTGTTATTAGGTAATTTCTCTAGTTCTAGTAATGTGAATACTACACATATCGCAGAAGATATTCAGAATTTATTTGATATATGTTAATACTATTTGATTATGCATCAGAAAGGTGTAATCTTCTTCCAATTCTTTATATATAATATCTAAAGAAGACTACACTTGTCCAAGTATGTATTTTTAAAAAAAAAATATCTCTATCTTTGCATCACTCCAATAATAATCAACTAATAAAAGGAATAATATTTTTTGCTCACTTCTCGACAGACAATTCAGAGGTCTTCATGAGTTGAAAGTTCTCATTCATATACTTTTGCCTCATCCAATAATTCAATGCATGAAATCTAGCAGAGTGTTTAGGACAGCATCCTGTAGTAGAAGCAGTAGGAAATCTACAAACAAGGCATGGTTTTTTTTTCAAATCTTTTCATGTAATGCCCAATGTCTTGCATAGTCAGTAGTATGAGTACAGACTCTTTCACAAATAATACCATTTCTCTTGATATGTGAGCAAGTAACACGATCCATGTAAGTATTTTAGGATATAGAAACCTTTCAATTTTATTGTGGATTAATTTTATAATAAATGTGTATTTAAATTATTCAGTAGTAAAATAAGACATAAACAACATTTCTCACTTACATTATAGACATAATGCAAAGAATGATACTTAATATACTAACCAGCCGATGGGTCAACCCAAATGGAAAGCTATTTCAGAAGCTAATCCAAAAAGGTTACAGATATGCTGATAGGCTTTCAGATTATTTAAATGATATTGGGACTATGTATATTGATAAATTCGAATTAGATCCCTTGGCCAACTTTTACCATCCAGCCCTAATTCCACCTTTATCTATCCTAGCTAGTAGATCAGATATTCATAAAAGGTTTCCTATTAGTGTAAAATCAACTGTAATGGGAGGAGTAAGTCTATTTACTCTAGAAAAAAATAAATGATTCTCACTTCAGAATTTAATCCAAATGAGTTATTCCAGTGATAGCTTGTTTACATTAATAGGAATAACTTGGGAGCATAAAAAGACAAAAGCTTGAAGGAACGACATACTTATAAAACTCCTATATCACCCGAATTTAACTCCTTCAAGGTATAGACCAGGTGCTTTATATGATGCATTAATCAAGACAGATGTTTTAGGACCAGAGTACATAATAGCTCTCTCATGAATATTTTACTAAAAGGTATTTACAACACAAATAAATCAGTACATAGCCTTGAAATAGGGGTCTTATAACTATATTTTTTTTCACATATCATATCTATCTTCAGATTTCAAATCGATGAAATACCCTTTTTGACTAAGTCATAGGTTATATTATTATTTCGCTCATTTGACCTCACTGATCATGAACGGGTTCTAGAGGGATCACGTAGTAAATTATCGGAAATATTTTTTTGAATTGAACTTTTTTATATGTAATATAAAATTAGTACGTTTTAATAATCTTGACTATACTGTTGTAAAACAATATGGCAAAAGTTGTTACAGATTTCATAAATCGCCATAAATAGACTTCTGAAACTCCGTTTCCCAAACTAGCTAAATACACAAAGGAAATTAATGAAAGTTTGAAGGATGATCGCAAGGTAAGATCTAATGCCAAAATGCGTTTTCAACAATTAGGGCTTACTAAAGAACAAGTAGAAGTTCTCATTCCTATCTGATCTTCTGGAAAGTGTGAAGAAGGTAAAGATACTATTGATAAAATTGCCCAAGAAATTGTAAATAATGATTATTCATCTGAGAAAATAAAATGAATTTTATATGATTTGGGTAGTTCTGCGTCTAATCCAGTCACTGGAAGTTCTCGACTTACTTTATTGTGAAAAAAGTTACGAAATCGTGAAGCTGATCGTCTTAAAAAAGAAGTGACCAAAATTCCTCATATTACTACTGAATCGAATGAAATTCAGATACGACGGCTTGTACTTGACAAATTTGAAGGTGTCAATTAGCCTAAACACTTCTTCTTCGAACCAGTTCAGGAAAGACTCGAGAAATGTGATTTCTCTTTATCACCTTCTAAGGAAGATTTGGTTGATGTAATGATAATGTTAAGCATGCGACCGGTAGATGTGACAACTCTTCGTATTGATAAATATGAAGTATCAGATAAAATCTGGTATGACTCTAAATATTCCTGATATTGTACTGGCTACTCTAAAACTAAAATAGAAACAGGAGTAGGGGAATCTCGACCTTTCCTCTCAATGGAAAAAGATACAATACGAGCAAAAGAGTTACTTGCCTAGATTCAGAAAATAATACCAGAAAAATTCACCTTCTTACAAAAAAACAAAAGCGATATAGTTAATGTAAATCCAATTAATCTCACTTTAGTTTAATATGGGATTACTTCGAGTAAATTGAGAAAGATAGGTGCAGATCATGTTAGCAGGATCTATGGAGGTAGGAACAATTCTCACTGCCAATATTTACAAAAGTTGGCTTGCAGACAAGTAGTAGATCGTCATGAATCAGTAGAAAGTTATGGCGTAATGAATGACTCACCTTCTTGCAATTGTTCAAAGATATCCCTAAAGGACCAGGTAAAGATAAAAGAAAAAGTGGATTAATCCTGATAATGATTTGTATATGTCTGTTCAATCAAGCAAACCCATTCCAGATCTCTGATAAAAACTAACCACATATAAGGGTTAGAGGTCAGGATATCATTTATTAATTTATTTTTTTCGCTTAAGGCAAGATATAGTGTATATAATATATCACGAAAATGGTAACTGAACAAAAACATTCATCTGATAGTACACCTAGTGAACAGGAAGTTATCAGATACACAGAAAAATTAGCCCAGATATTTGGGCTAGACAAGCAAAATGCAAAAGTGTATAGTGCGCTTTTTGGTGAAAATATGGCACTAAAGAAACAATTGGAAGATTATCATTCCCAACCTAATACTTTAGAAAGGAGGGTAAAAAGATTGGAGAAAGATGTGAGGCCGAGCAGAAAAACAAAATATAAAGGTAAGAAGTATTTATTTTTTTATTTCTGCTGATTTTTTGCAATAGATCTAAAAATTAATATCTCGGCGGGAATTGGCTAATCTCTCCTCGCTAATAAGGCTTTCAACAACAGATATAGGAAATGGAATATTTGTGTTAATTATAGAATCATATTAGTCAAGTTTTGGTGCATGAATATTATACTGCACTGCAAATTTTTTAATGTATTACAATACAGTATATGAAATATTGCTTGAAAGAGATTTATACAACCAAATTCGAATCAATATTTATTTTATGACATAACAGAATAAATGCAATATTTTAATACAAGAAAATAGAAACATAAACTCATGCAGAACCCCTACCACGGCCTCTACTGCGACTTCTCCCCCTACCATTCACATTCTTTCCTTCTCCTCTCGATATTTTTGGCAGAAATTCTGCAAACGTCACAGCATTTCGCCGTCCTGGTGTGAATCCAGTTGCATACTTGGGCTTGGACATCGTTATGTTTTCTTGTCCTTCCTTTCTAAACTCTATAAACCTTTTGATCTTTTCAACAATATTGTATCGTAAGCATAAAAGTGTTCTAATAAGTCTAGGTACATGATTTAGATCGGTATCGGAAGTTGGGATCGTAAGAACTGGGATTGTAAATGGTGCAAAAAGATATAAACCAGGACCAATAAATATTAACTGGCCAATCTCAATTTTATCAGCTACAAACAAAAACAAGTATATATTAGATCAAAATCACCTGCAGGTTCAAAATTATTAAAAAAAAAATTACCAAATGCTTGGGCTAAGAAAATCCCCAGTGTTTCGCACACTTCCAATTTTGGTAATTCGGTACTCAACATAAATTTATTAAGGCCAAAGACACCCTCGTTCAGTAATTTATGCCTATCATCATTAATCTTGTCTGGATCTGGGTTATTAGGCCCTTCCGACACTTCAAGCAAAAACAATGGAATTTGCTTGGGTCGCTCGAAAAGCTCTAATACTCCATCGGCTTTATAGCCGTTATCTTGAATATCGATCTTTGTAGATATGTCTCTTTCACATGAAAAATACTGCGACGAGTCAATAAAACAAAAAGTGATAAAAAAAATGTATGCTAATACATGGGCCGTCCATGTCCGCTCAGGAGTCTTATTCATGGCACCATTCATTTTTGTGATGATGTCAAAATGGTTGGAGATATTCTTGACAATAAATAAATCAGGCATTTTGGGTTGTTCATAGTCCGCCGGAATAGGAAAGAAGTTGGATAAATAGTGATATTTTTCGGGTACACTGCCCAATTGATATACTATTTTCTCCACTTCATTGTTTTCTTCTATATTCTCGTTATTACTTTCGTCCACAAGATAACTATCAACCGCTTCGTTTCCCTTTGATTGAGCAGGTACAATATCATCAAAAAACGCTAAATACTCATGTGTCTTTTCACTTATGAATTTTTCTTCATCTTCCAATATTAACCTTTCATACAACGAATCCAATTCACCCTCATCCAAAAGTCTATATACCTGTTTCCATGTGTCTTCATCTCCTAAATCGAGTACGTAAAAATTTGACTCGGAATCTCGAGTTTTCCAGATAGTTTTAAGTTTGTTATAGTATGACGGAAAAGTTACTTTTCCGAAAACATCGGAAGCATCGATCACGGAATTCACCAAATCTTCATTCACAACATCAAGTTCTCTTTCTTGTGTATCACGCGCACGTTTTTTCGGTAGAAAAGACGTAGAAGGTTTTTGAACTATCTCTCTTAGTTCCGACGCAACATTTTCACGTACTCCCTCAAAAACTTCCAACACATCACCTTCTACTCTTCCAGCAAACCCTTCTTTCTGGAGATATCTTCGAGCTTTTTCAACATTTTCGAGAAAAGTATTTTTTCGATTGGGGCCCTTTACAAACTTGCTCAACTCTTGGCAGTAATTACAAACTCCGATTGGCGTGATTACTTGTTCTGATATTAATTTAAGACTTGTGGTATAAGCCGTGAATGCGTCGCTCGGTTTATTAAGAAGATCCGGTACGGAATACAAAAATTCAGGTATTTCATCGTAACGTTTTACTGGAAGAGCGATAAAATGAGTTGCGATTTCTTTAGGAAGATTTTCGTCGAAAGGAAGGCACCAATCTGCCAACCCCGGAGGATATGAAGGTTGTGGCATTCTCCGTTTATAGTAAAGGGTAAATTATTCCTTTGGTTAATTGGTTCGGTAGCGAAGGATTATCTACGTTCTAGCTAGGGTGTCCAGAAATATGTGGTGCAAATATATGCGCATATTTTAAAGATTTTTTCACATATGTTATGTGTCACA